AAATTGGAGATAACCAACAGAAGGAAGGCAATAGCAACGAGGGTCAGAAAAGCCTTCTTTATAGATAGTGAGACTTAAGCTGGTACTTGAAGTCAGGAAATCTAGGAGGTGGAAATAAGAACGCAGAGAGTTCTAAGCATGAAGGAAAGCCAGTGAAAATACCAGGAGTTTGGAGATGGAGTATCTTGAGAGAGAAATATCAAGATCAATGGCATTAGATGACAAGGTACATGGGGAGGTGTCAGATATAAGAAGCCTGAAAAGATAGGAAGGGGCCAGGTTATGGAGGGCTTTAAAAGTCAAACAGAGGATTTTATATTTGATACTGGAGGGATGGAGATAAGCAGCTACTGGAATTTACTAGTGGGGAAGGGGACAGAGAGAGCATAAAAGTGATGTTAATGAAGATAGAAATTCCAGGATTTGGCAACTGATTAGCTATGAATAGAGGTCTGGGTTGAGAGTATTGAGTCCAGGATGACATTTAGGTTGCAAGGCTAGGTGACTGAGAGAATGATAGTACCTTCTACAGAAGGCCTGCACAACCTGCTGCCTAAGAGGATGTTTTCCTTTACATTTTGGAGGGCTGCCCAAAATCCTTTGACATGGGGCAAGCAGCCCACAGGCCACGGGTTATGCAGGCCTGCTCTACAGTAATAAGGTTAGAAGGGGGGGGGCAGAGAAAATGAGTTCAGTTTTAGACCTGTTGAATTTAAGATATCTACAAGATTTGCAATTTGAGGGGGCAGAACTAAGATGGCAGAGTAAAAGCCTTCCAAATACTTGTAAAAAATGACTCTAAACAAATTCTAGAGCAGTAGAATCCACACAAAGGGTGAAACAAATTTCCAGCCCAAATTTCCAGCGGATGTTCCATGGGAAAGGTCCATTGCAATAGGCTGGGAGAGGAGTGCAGCTCAGTGTGGGCCATGCAAGCAAAGACTGGGCCTCAGCGAACCTGGAGTAGGCCTCAGGGGACTGAATCAAGCGGAGCTATGGCAGTTTCTAGACCCACAAATGCCAAAGACAGCTTAGAAAGTCAGAGGGAAAGGTCTGTCAGACCTGGGTAAGAGAGGAGCATGGTCTAGCCCGGGCCAGCAGCTCCAGAACAGTGGCCACAGTTCTGGTTGCTTCCAGAGCTTTTGGACCACAGATGGGGGGAGGGGGGGAAATCAAGCAGCTGATCAGAAGGGGGATTATACGGATCTCTCTGCTGGTGCTGAGGCAGGAGTCTCTTGCTTTGTCCATGCTTGGATCTGGGTCCACTCCTGGGTGGCAGTCCTGGGGTGAGAAGGAGTGCTAGTGTGGTGGAGCTTGTGGCAGCAGTACAGAGGAAACCCTCCTCTCATGTCCAGGACAGAAAAGAGTGCTTGTGGTCACTCACAGACCAGAGCACAGACCAGGAGAGGAGTAAACACCTCTCCTTTGATCATGCCACCTTGAAAGAACTGAAAATTTACAGGTCTCTAGAAGTATCTCTGAAAACAGCTGCACAAAACCCTGAAGCTTGGAACAGCACATTCTCCACATTGGAAGCAGACCCCCACCTTACAAAGAGTTAAAAAGTCAAGGAACTGGCTGGGAATATGAATAAACAGAGAGAAAAAATTCAGACTATAGGATTTTACTTTGGTGATAAGGAAGATCAAAACACACAAGCAGAAGAAGATAACAAAGTCAAAGCTCCTACATCCAGAGCCCCCAAGAAAAATATGAATTAGTCTCAGGCCATGGAAGAGCTCAAAAAGGATTTTGAAAATCAAGTAAGAGAAGTAGAGGAAAAATTGGGAAGAGAAATGAAAGTGACACAAGAAAATCATGAAAAATGAGTCAACAGCTTGCTAAAAGAGGCCTAAAAAAAACAGACTGAAGAAAATAATACCTTAAAAAATAGACTGGGCCAAATGGCAAAAAAGGTCCAAAAAGCCAATGAGGAGAATGCCTTAAAAAGCAGAATTGGCCAAATGGAAAGGGAGGTCCAAAAGCTCACTGAAGAAAATAATTCTTTAAAAATTAAAATGGAGCAAATGGAAGCTAATGAGTTTATGAGGAATCAAGAAAGTATAAAACAAAACAAAAAATAATAATAATAAAATGAAAAAATAGAAGACAATGTGAAATATCTCATTGGAAAAACAACTGACCTGGAAAATAGATCCAGGAGAGATAATTTAAAAATTATTGGACTACTTGAAAGTCATGATTTAAAAAAAAGAGCCTAGACATCATCTTTCAAGAAGTTATCAAGGAAAACTGCCCTGATATTCTAGAACCAGAGAGTAAAATAGAAATGGAAAGAATTCACCAATCACCTCTTGAAAGAAATCTCAAAAGGAAAACTCTCAGGAATGTTATAGCCAAATTCTAGAGTTCCCAGGAGAAAATATTGCAAGCAGCCAGAAAGAAACAATTCAAGTATTGTGGAAACACAATCAGGATAACACAAGATTTAGCAGCTTCTACATTAAGGGATCAGAGGGCTTGGACTATGATATTCTAGAGGTCAAAGGAGCTAGGATTAAAACCAAGAATCACCTACCCAGCAAAATTAAGTGTAATCAATGAGAGGAAAAAATGATATTTAATGATGTAGAGGAATTTAATGCATTAAGAAGCATGAAACGGTAAACAGGAAAGAGAAATCATAAGGGACTTATTAAAGTTCAACTGTTTAAATTCCTACATGGAAAGATGATATTTGTAACTCATTAGACCTTTATCATTCTTAGGGTAGTTGGAGAGAACATATATAGACAGAGGGCACAGGGTGAGTTGAATATGAAGAATGACATCTAAAAAAGAAAATTAAGGGATGAGAGAGGAATGCACTGGGAGAAGGAGCAAGGGAGAGGTAGAATGGGGTAAATTATCTCACACAAGAGGCAAGAAAAAGCTTTTACAGTAAGGGGAAGAGTGGGGAGGTGAGAAGGAATGAGTGAACTGTACTCTCATCAGATTTGGCTTAAGGAAGGAATAACATACACACCCAATTGGGTATGGAAATCTATCTTACCCTACAGGAAAGTAGGGGGAAAGGGGATAAGAAAGGGAGGAGGGATAGAAAAGAGGGCAGATTGGGAGAGTGTATAATCAGAAGTAAACACTTTGGAGGAGGGACAGAGACAAAAGAAGCTTGCTCTAAAAGCTCCTGCGCCAATCAGACTGGGATGGCTCTGCACTCCTGTCTTTAAAGAGAAAAAAAAGGCAGGGAAATGGTAGAACATGATATGTGAGGAACAGCAAGTATGGCTGGACTATAGAGTGGGTAAAAGAAAGTCTAAGAAGACAAAATGTGGGAAGGAGAGCTTTAAATGACAAAAAATGTATATTTAATCCAGGGAGACCAGACTGCCAGACCTACACTATAAATCACTTCAGTACATAAATGAAGAGACTTAAGACCAATTAGAAGAGTGTACAAAAATCTAGGTGAGGCATGCTGAGTTCCTGAATTAAGGCAGTGGCTATGTTAGTGAAGGAGAGACAGAGAGACAGAGACAGACAGATATGAAGTAGAAACATTTGGAAACACAGGATAAGTCTGGCACTGAGGTAATCCTGAGTGACTCGGCAGACGGTGGTGCCCCAGAGAAAAAAGCAGAGAAAAGGAGAGTTAGAGGACAAAATATGTTGAGCTTGAGATTCGTAGACAGTCAGTTTGAAATGTCTGAAAGGCAGCGATTTAGAGAACTTTCAGCTAAAATGACACACTAGAGCAGGATATATAGACTTGGGAATCATCTACACAGGGAAAGCTGAACCTATGAGTTCATCTAGTGAGCTTATTTGTCCTCATCTTTGCCCATTCTTATGGGACATTCCAAGTGAGCAACAGGCATGCCATCAGGATAACATTTTGTACCCACCTTAATAATTCTTTGACATAGGTTCTGAAGTTATTAAGTCTGGGATTATTGCCTGGAAATTTTATGGTTCTGACAACCTAGCAATAAAATGTCAAGTAGACTCTTTGACCATAAATTATAGGAGAATGACAAATCATTGCTTCTTGATGGCATTGCTTTGGTACAATACTTAGCAAGGGCTCTTTAAAAAAATGAAAGAGGTAGGAAAAGGTGAGAAAAAGTGAAATGAAGACATGAAATTTTAACTAATTTGCCTATTAAGGATTATAAAATTCCAAAGAAATTCAACAGAGTTGGGAATATGGGTTGAATGTGCTACTAATCATTTTGTTAAATCAATTTTAAAATAAATGGAAGCTTCAAAATTTTTTTATGAAAAAATTTTATTTTTACATAAATAAAATTGTTTCTACCACATTCTTTTAAAAATATTTCCTCTACCATTGAAATAACTACCTTTTTGGTACAGGGAACACAGTACAGAATGGTCCACCAGCTCTTTTTCTAAACTTATCTTCTTCAGATAAAATACAGAACTGTGACTCTGGGTAGTCTAGCAACTGTTACTTCCTTTTATCTCTCCCATTAAGGGGTTGCAGGACTTAATTCTCTAAGCACCTATTTACACAAAATTCTTAACATTATGCCACCAAAGATTTCACAGATTTTATGTAACAGAGTTTGATAGCTTTGGTATCAACACAGTGTAAACTAACCAAAGGAGCAACAAAAGATTCAGGAAAAAAAACTGCGGTTATCACAGTTGGACCCCTAAAAAATTTACAAAAAGTAGTTAAGAGTGAACTTTAAATTCAGTAACACTGAAACAATTAAAACAATTCATTGCTTTCAAAGGAGTTATAGAAACACTAAGTTACATACAAATTACTACAGAAACACTAACTTACATACATCCACAAATACTATCTTAGAACCATACAAGCATAAGGCACTTTAAAAATAATAATCAAGTGTACAAAAGGATTAGATGTAAGAAATTGTAATTGTCAGTAAAAAAATAGAGCTAAGTAGAGAAACATGGGGGATATACATGTGTCCCATGCAACTTTTAAAAATGTTTTGAGTGAAATCCCAGGTTTCATAAAAAGTTTAAAAAAAAACTTTCATCATTCATATTTTTAAAAGTATTCATCTATTGTGTTTACATATATTTAAATGAAGTAAGGCAGTGGTTCATGTAAAGAATATATCTATACATATGTTAAAGAAAAAATTTTTTCTCCCACTCAAGGAAGCTTTAGATTATACATTCAAAGGAGGGGGAAATGGCTAGTACTTTCACTGGCCAATATTTCCATTCTAGAAACATGAAGAAAAAAAAAATAACATTTCTATTGGCAATTCAGCATTGAACCAGGGAAGAATTAATACTAGACAGTGTGATTTGGTAGAAAGAATATATAGAACTAGAAGCCAGAAGTGCTGGAATTCAAGTTCTAGCTCTCCCACTTTCTCTGAGACTCAGTTTCTTCATCAGGAAAATGAGGATATATATACATATAGTACACAGAGTTTGACCCAACAACATAGACAGGAAAAATTATGTGAATGAAGAATGACCTAATGGTCATTATCCTAGACCTACGATATACAAGTGACCAGGTACTGAGTTTGGCTAATAGTATCTTAGACATACTCTCAGATTGACAATGAACTAGACCCAGGACTGAATAGCAAGAATACAGACTGAAATGCTTTTCAGAAATAACAGTACTTTCAACAAGTCCAAACTGCTTCCTGAACTAAAATCCCTTTTTTTTTTAAAGCAACATTCTTCCACTGAAACAATACAGCTATGAATCACAGAACATAACAATATCTAAAAATTTAGGTGACCCAAAGGGACAAAAGTGAAACATACAGTGAGTACAAACCAGTAGTATAACACATCACCAACAATGGTGTGTATACAAGTGGCAGCCCAAAAGGTATCATCCTAGAGATAAATTATCAGAAAAGAAAGTGGGCCAACCAAATAGCAAAAGTAAGGAACAATAGATGAACATCCCAGAGTACTGCTCTGATACCAGCATAATTTTAAAAGACTGCAAGGAAGACCTTCAGCAAGTTGAGTGGATACCTTAGGGCAAATTGCTGAGAGCACATAAATAAAAGCCACACAAGCAGAGAAAGCATGAATAGGCTGTGATCTATACTGCTGGGGGGAGTATCCTCACTGATGAGATCATAGGCCTACTGAAGTACTAAAATATAACACCTGTACTGCCTAGTCTGAGGACTGTTGTAGGGAAAGCATTTGTAAGTTTTAAAGCACTCTAAAACTGAGTTATTCTATTTCTGAGTTTCTTAATCACAGATAAAATTTATTTTTAAAAGTAAAACAAGCCTGTGAAAGTTTAGTAGGCACAATGACTCAGGAACAAGATCAAATATAATCCAGAGTCAAAATTAAGTAAATATTTTCCTTTTTTAAAACAGGAAACATACACAAGGAAGTAAAGTCTTAATATTCAGTTACAAAGCAAAGTGTCATACCCATAACTGTTGGAAATAAAGTCTTATACATCCATAGGTGCAAATATCACATGGGAAAAAGTGCAAGCATTATACATGTAGCAAATCTGCCCCCAATTTCCTAAAGCAGTCATTATTTCAACATCTAGTTGGTTGTGCTGAATTGGTTGTCTGGTTTCAAGGAATCATAGCCTTCTTTTAGCAGACCCCTCCATGTTTTAAGGAATCGTGCATTTTCAGTACATTTGAATGCCAGCTCTTCCACTTGGGCTGAAACAGCAGATGTGGCCTCAAGAAGTTTAATTAATGAAAAGGCTGCCTGAAATTAAAAAGAGAGAGAGAGAAACAAGAATCAAAGTATTGTAGCTTATTTCACAATTATAAGTGGTCATTTTACCACAACCCTTCCAACAAATATACAATATACTCAAGATTTTTAGTGTGAAATTCCATATTAAAAATATAAAGCAAAAAAAAACTATAGAAGATCTCATTTCAGAGTGACTAACATTTTTAACAAAGTAATTTGAATAGATTTGTGTCTCACACAACCTATCCAAATAAGTTCAAAATGGATATTAAAGGTCATACCAATGTTATCAACAAAGTCCAGCGGAAATAGAAAGAGAAAATCCATTAACTGTTGGTGGAGTTGTGAACTGATCCAACCATTTTGAAGAGCAATTTGGAACTATGGCCAAAGGTCTGTACACCAAAAAAAAATTTTTTTAAGTGAAAAGAATCTATTTATACAAAATATTTATAGCAGCTATTTTTGTGGTGACAAAGAATTGGAAATTAAAGGGGATGTCCATCAATTGGGAACGGATGAACAACTTGTGGTATATAACAACACTTTTTGTTGCAGAAAAGAACTGGAAACAAAGTGGGTGCCTATTAGGTAGGGGAATGGTTGAACAAATGTGGTATTTGAATAAGTGACTGCTATAATTACCAATCATAACTCCAAAGGACTGAGGATGATATATACTTCCTACTTCTTGGCAGAGAGAAGATGAATTAGACAGAGGTGAAGAATGAGACATCCATTTTCAGAAAAGGCCAACATGTGAATTTTTTTTTCTACTATACTTATTTATCAGAAGGGAGAGCACGGAAGTAGGTAATGACAGAGTTACAGAGTAAAGTTGATAACATTTTAAAAAAAAACTATATGAGATTCCATTTCATGTAATCTTTTTTCTGTTATTTTTTGTATATGGAAATGTTCATATTTGTTGATATTTGTTAAGTTCATAGGAAAGCAATAAGCTACCACCTGGTATTTTATGCAATTACACTTAAGAAATCATAATCCAACACTATCTCTTTACATATTGAGTAAACTGAGACCCAAAGAGGTTATATAACATGCCCAAGGTAACACAGGTTACCTACCTGATCTGTGATCTAAAAGATTCTAGGAAACATTTTTGCCCATTGTTGCAGGATATTTATCTCTAGAACACAGTTTTCACAACCCTACTCCCAAAAACTAAATTATTCTTCCCAAGTATAAGTAACCTTTATTTAAAATGCTTTTTAAAAGTACACCAATAAGTATAAAAGCATGTTCAGGTACTGACATATATTTCCTCAACAAGAAACTTAACTCATCTTTTCTGAAGAAGGCTGTCCTATTATTTCTTAAGATTATCTAGAGGGGGGAAAAATAAAAATAATTGCATCTAATAGGCATCTAAAGTTAATTTTTTTCTTAAAAAATCAACAATATATATCGAACAAAACCTGGTTTATTCATTCCCCTACTTCCATTCTGAACAAATGAGTTCATTCTTAAAAGCTCTCCAAGAAAGTGATTCCCTAACCCAATAAATCACTCCCTAAAATCCCTTATAACTATAATTCCTCCTTCTGCAATCTAAATCCATTTCCCTCTGTTCAGTTTTTACTGGAAACAAATACCTTTTTTTTTTGTTATTGCTGCAGGAAAGGATCTCACAAGAGTCTGTCGATGTAAAACTTGAAAGAATCTTAAAAATCTTAGCTTGGAGCAGAGTGCTATGCAAGGTGATGGATACAAAAGAGGTATCTATAACCACTATTTACTGAAATCAACCAAGCTAAAAATTGCTCACAGTTATTTCCTCACGGGAGGGGGGGGTTGTCCAGAAACCAAAGGGATTCATGAATCTTCATTACCTTCCTATTGTCCAGCACATGACTGTCGGAAGTGAAACAAGGAAGATAGCAAACAAGTCCCTGTATTATGTGCCAGGCACTTACTAAGGGTTTTACAAATATTATCTCATTTGATCCTCACGATTATGGGGAGGTAGGTGCTAATTATCCCCATTTTGCAGCTGTAGAAACTGAGGCTGACAAGTGTCTTGCTCTAGATCACGCATCCAACCAGGGTCAAGTTAAACATTAAAGACTCGTGTACGCAGGTGGGAATCCCTACCTCATCTTCAAGTATTAAGTTCCAGCTACATGCTGGTGGCTCCCCTAAATATGGAACGCAATGCCTTTTTTCTAGCTTCTTAAAGCACAGCTAAGGTGCCACCTCCTACAAGAGACCTTTCCTGATCCAAGTAACTACTCTTGTATGAACTTTCTATTTACCTTTCTGAGGTTTTGTGGCTTAACAAACGCCCCAACCGAAGAAGAGCTCGTACAGAGCTGAGACTTTTAAAACATTCTGACTTCCCCCCCCCCGCCCCAGGCTCTAGCACAAAGCTTGCCACATAAATAACAGGTTCTTAATAAATGCTCGTAGACTGATTCTCAAATATATCTGATCCCGTCAGTGAGATCGTGACCCCTTGCGTGCCTTGCGCAGAGTTGGAGTCAAAGTCCGGAGACAGAAGGACAAGTTCCGGGAACAACTCTAGAAAATCCCCCAAAGCTCGGGAGGGCAGGTTTCACCGCCCAGAGGGGCTGGGTTCCCACGCAGACTCAGTAGCGCCGCTGAGCTTCGGAGGGATGGGGAACGAGACAGACCCGAAGTCCAGGACAGGCCGTTCGGGGGGAAGGGCCTAGTGGGTTTAACCCGTTCACTGCCCAAGGCCCGGCGCTCGAGAGCAGACCTGGCGAACCTGGGGCTGCGGGTGGGCAGCATCACCCGGAGTCCCACCCGCGGCCGCCTCCCACCCCCTCTGCGGGGCCGAGCAGGGGAGGGAAGAGAGAGACTCCCGGGAACCGAGGGCGGGCGCCGGACTTACATCATCGATCTGCATCTCGACCTCCTCCAGCGGGTCCGCGGACGGCGCTCCATGGCTCGGCCCCGTCCCCGGTTCTGGATTCTCCCGGCCAAAACCGCCGGGAGTTCCGGGGACAAGGAGAAAGCGGCGGCGCGGGCCAAGGGGGACGAAGGAGAAGACGGGGGAGGAGGAGGCGGCGGCGGCGAAGCTCGGGCCTCGGCCATGGTGAACAGAAGTGTCAAGAAGGTGGAGCAGGGTCAGGGTAACGGCCTTTCAACTGCGCGCGCCCAAGACGGGGGCCCCGCCCCTTTCTCCCTTCCCCCTCCTCCCTCTGTCTCGCACCGCCCTCCCAGTCCGGGGGGAACGGGGGGTGCGGGGGGTGGGGGGGGGGTGAGTAGCAAGAGCAAAATCAACTTGAGCACCGGGAACCAACCAATAAGATCCCAGACATAGGCTTCCATTTATAAGCCCATCGCGCCTGCGCAAAGAGATTTGCTCCAGGGGGAGCTCCCTTGAGCTAGTCCCGGAGCACTATAGATCCCAATATGTGCTTCTCTGCCTTGTCTTCTTCCCTTCTCCATTCGCGTCATATGATGGGATTCACGGACTTCCCCCAAACTGTGACCTTTAAGTTCACGTTAGAGAGGCGCCGAACTTCAGTAGAGGAACTAATGGACTCCATATTCCGTCAGGCTATGAGGCCCTTGCGCCTGCGCAGAATCCCAGAGAGGCGGGAAAGGAGCGAAGCGGGGTCAATGAGGCGACTCTGTGGAAAGTCAGTAGAGGCGCCAGTGCAGCGAAGAGTGCATGGGGCACCCCGCGGCCTAGATGTCCTGCGGAGTCTGAGAGTTAGTAGATTCATCCTGCTCGGCTCGGAGCCGGAGAAGCCCACCTGTGCCTGTCGTCATGTTGGTGCTTCTGGCGAAGCTGTCCAGCCCCGGTGAGCTGGGGACCCTAGTGAGGTCTGGGAAAGGAGGAAGAAGAGCTGGGAATGAAAGGAAGCGGGATGCCTAGCCCACCCCCCAAACTAGGGCAAAGGTCATGCCAGTCTTTGTGATTCCTGGACTGATTCTCCCAGTCTCTGCCCACCTGCCTCGGGAGCAGCTGCGCCTCGGGGCCGCCCTAGGCAGGGCTGGTATCTGGGGTAAAGGTAAAAGCAGAGGGGACCTGTGTCAGCCCCGGCTTCTCTCCACACGCCCCCCTCAGTCCGGAGCTTGCCCTCTGCTTGACCCTGGCCGGGCTCAAGTGCGTCGGACCCTCCCGGCCCAGCGCCCAAGGGAGTGGTCACCCCACGATTAAGGTGCCCACGAGATGCCCCCAAATCAGCCTCCCAGCTCCTCGCATGGAGTTCAGGAGAAAAATAAGAATAAGAAAAGTGTTATAAAATTTAAAGGTGGGGGGGCGGTGTCTGTGTGCATCTCTGTGTGTGGTGATTCCTAGCATGGAGTGGAAGAAAAAAGTTTTTCATGTAATAAAAAAGTGTTATACAATTTAAAAAGCCAAAAGTTTATTGGTTGTAGTGGTGTTTTGCTTTTTACTCTGTTACAACTACAGTAATTATATTACTGTTTATTTAATCCACACCTGTGTTTTCATCTGGGTGGGGAACTCCTGGTGTGGAAACTACCCCCACCCCACTGTTAATTATTTTTCTAAAATATCTTGGTCTCAGAAAACCCAAACAGGCTTTGTTTGAATTTTGAAAATTCAAAGCTTGTTGTATCCGGATAAATAGAATTATAGTGATGAAGTTACCTGCAGGAATAAGCCTCCCTAGGCAGTCCTGTCTCCCCTTCCCCTAGCTAATATGCGGACTTATATAATATTAGAGCTGAAAGAGACTTCAGAGGTTATCTAGATCAATACCTATCCATACCATAAATTCTGTCTAGAACATTTCCAGCTTGTGATCATCTAGCCTCAGAAGACTTCTCATGAGGAATTCATAGTGCCATCTCCCCACCTCCACCCATACAAATACATTCAGTTATCCCTTCCATGCCATACCCTATAGTCAGTAGCACACTCTGATTTTGGATAACTAACTTTTTTTTTATTAATTTATTTTGATTTATCAACAATCACTTCCATATGCTTTTGAGTTGAAAAGTTTTCTCCCCCTTCCTCCCCTCTGCCTTCATTTTCACATTAGTGAACTTGTAAGTAAAAATTAAAACCAATAGGAGGAACCATCAGAAAGATGAAACAAAACTCAACAGAAGGTAAAAATAAGTGATAGCGATTTGACTTTCATAGTTCTTTCTTTGGATGTGGACAGCATTTTCCATCCCGAGGCCTCTGGACATGTCTTAGATCCTCATAATGCTGAGAAGGGTTCAGTTTAACAATCTTAGTCATTGCATAACGTGGCTGTTATTGTGTACAAAGTCCTCTTTGTTCTGCTCACTTCACTCAGCATCAGACCATATAAGTCTTTCCCAAAGTTTTTCTGAAGTCAGCCTGTTCATCATTTCTTATAGCACAATAGCATTCCATTACATTCATATACCACAACTTGCTCAGCCATTCCCCAATTGATGGGCATCCTCTCAATTTCCAATTCTTTGCCGCCACAAAAAGCTGCTATGAATATTTTTGTACATGTGGGTCCTTTTCCCATTTGTTTGATCTCTTTGGGATACAGCCCTAGAAGTGCTGTTACTGGATCAAAGGGTATGCACATTTTTGTAGCCCTTTGGGCATTGGATAACTAACTTAAGAAGCCTTTCCCTAGCCAATATCTGCTTCCTTATATTTTCTGCCCCTTGGTTGTGTATACCTTTTCCACTGTGATGGCATGCTGACAGAAAGGAAGCCAGGAAATGCTGAGTCGATGTTTTTAGACTTTGAACATTAATTCAGTTACTGGTTCTCTAAATTCAAGATCTGTCCCCAATGACCACAGAGAACATGAGGCACAACATGTTATAGTAAAAAGGCTGTTGGATTGAGATTCAGAGGACCTGGGTTCAAATGCTATCTTTGCTGCTTATAATCTGTGTAATTATTGTGGCAACAGTTTCCTCATATATAAAAAAGGGGTTGGCCTTTTAATGACCAATAAGACACTTAAATGAATGATCTCACAACCTTAATTCCATAGTGTAATCCATTCACCCAAAGCCTAATTAGTCTCCCACATAACAACCCTTCATATCTTTAAAGACTGTCATTATGGTCCTTCCAAACTTTTTTTTTTCAAACATCTCCAGTTCTTTCAACATATGACAGCATATTATACATTGAATTGTAGAGTTAAGAACATTGATCTTAGAGTCAGAAAGTGCTAACTTTGATATTGACTAGCTGAGTGACCCCAAAAGTGTTATATTACCTATTTCAGAATTATGATGAGAAAAGTACAGATTTATATCTTCTAATATTGTGCATTCTCTGCCGTATTCTTCCATAGATCCATAAATCCTTAGGATTTACCTAATGTGCTAGAAGCCCTCCTAGTTTTTTTGGGTTTGGGCTTTAACTTTGTGGTTATCCACCAGCATTTGGTAGAAGAGCATTTGACTTGACCCAGAAAAGATTTGGGTTCACATCCTAAGACTGACACTTATAAGCTTTGTGACCACCAGCAAATCATTGTACTTCTCTCTGAGCCATATTAAAAAGATATGTTTGTAGATTGGCCCTCATTGTTGTGCACACCTTTTCCACTGTGATGGTTTGCAGGAAGTGCTGGGTCAGCATTTTTAGACTATGAACGTTAATTCAGTTACTGGTTCTTTACATTCGAGATCTGTCTGAGAACTGATAAGTTGATATACTTCTGGAGAACCTGAAACGTATACATATTGGCATTTTGGCTATTAAGAAAAAACAAACAAGATATAGGTCATTATAGCTAAATAGGTCCTTTGCCTAGTATTCAGCGCTCTCCACAATATGGTTCCAGCCTGTCTTTCTAGGTTTGGTTTTAGTCTATTCTCTGTGTTCCTGGAATGGTGTGTAGAATAGTTTGATTGGAAGAATAGTGATATTTAATAGAATTGTAGAATTTTAAAGCTGGGAGAGGCTTTAAAGAACATCTAGCCCAATCCCCTCATTTTACAGATAAGGGGCTGATACTAGAGAAATGAAGAGACTTGGCCCAGGTGTGAGTCTGTGGCAGAGTTGGGATTGGACCCAGGCCCCTGTCATTCCAAATGCAGTGTCCTTTCCACTGTGCCCTGCTGCTTCACAGGGATTTATTTGCCATGAAAATTAAATTACAAAAGTAATGTCCTTGATTTTTATGCAGCACGTCAGTGCTTACATGCTCTAAAAATAATCAAGAAGGATTGTCTGCTATGTCCTGCTGCTGCAAGATGGGCTTCAGCTTCTGCGGTACCTCGTATTACCACACACTATACAGTCTGTCCTCGGGAAAAAGACAGTCGATGGGAAGGTAAGTAAGAAGTGGCAGAAAATTGTTGCAAGTTTTTCTAGGTAAGGCCAGTGTGAAAACACTAAGCATGGGACAATTTCAAAGTTTCCTTTTAAGGAATGACATATCTATAGTTTTCCCATGATAGGTCAACTTTTACATTTTGTATTCAGTGTATCTAAATTGTACTTCTGCCAAGTACATTCTTAGATACTAATCCCTAGGTAAGTTGACATTTAGATGCCTGGTATATGTGAAGAATCAAAGCTGACACTTGATTCAACAAGGCTAATAAAATCAACACTATTCCAGGATTTAGGAAGCACCTACTACAGCAATATACTTACTATAAATATTGTATTTAAGTTAGAATTTATAATATCTAATAATATCTAACAAAAATATCTGAAAATAATATCTAATTCTTTTTTTTTTAAACCTCATTTAAAGGAGTGAACATGGAGAGATTTGCAGAAGAAGCTGATGTAGTAATAGTTGGTGGAGGCCCCGCTGGTCTCTCTGCAGCTATTCGTCTAAAACAGTTGGCTGCTAAACATGAAAAAGAAATTCGAGTATGTCTAGTGGAGAAAGCTGCTCAGATAGGAGCCCATACTCTCTCTGGTGCTTGTCTTGAACCATCTGCTTTTGAAGAACTCTTCCCAGACTGGAAAGAGAAAGGGGTATGCACAGCTATTGGTTGTTTTTTAAAATCATCTCCAATCCAAATACTTGTATAAATATTTTTCATTTAAAAAAGTTTTCTCAGTGGGTAATTATGAAAATTTTTAGTGAATAAAGAGAAAACTAGGACTAAAATTATTTTTAAGTGTCAAGGTTGTAATTTTGAGATTTTAATTTAATTTAGTATTTTCTGCGTATTTATAGGATTTATGATACAACCTACGTTTGAAAGTTGAACCGTTTGTATTGGAAAAAAAAGAGGATTTTCATTAAGTTTTGTTATGTAATCCTTCTTCTTCAAATCTTATTTATAACCTTGAAACAATGCTTCCAATCCAGAGAAGCTAACTTAAATTTTGAAAATAAACATACAGCCCCTCTCCCTCTCTTTCTTCTCTTTCCTTCCCTTTTCACACTTTCTATATCTCCCTGTCCCTTTTTCTCACAGTCTCTATCACCCCTTCTCCTCCTCCCCCATATCAGAAGAAAGTTGGCTGCTAGGAGATGTTTTTTCAGCCATAGGAACTCAGGAAGGCAGTGTTTTAAAGCACATGGAAAGGAGTTGCTACACCAAGAAAATCATGCATCTTTTAAAGTACTCAAGATGTATAAACTAACATAGACTAGAGCAAATTGATGTCTAATAGTTGTTGTCTATTCTTAGCTCTGCTGCTAACTTGACTTTGGGCACATACTTCCATACCTGTTTCCTAATTTGTAAGGGTGATGTCTTACCTCACAGGGTAGTTTTATAATATATTACCTTATTCTGACAATAGAATAAGGTAACATGAGAAAACTCTTAGGAAAAAGCTAAAAAATGTATACCATCCTTGTGCATTTCATGCTGAGCAAATCGGATCCAGAATGGTTTCTGTTCCTCTTTTCTATATAATAACTGAAGTACATGTTTTTTAGATTAATGTTACCAATTCTGGTATAAAAAGAAAAGTTGTTCTTCACAGGTCTCTCAGTGTGTTGACTGTTTTATAAGTTCTAACTCAGAGATCTGTCACCACCTAAAATAATATAAAATCTGTTAATCCCCATAAAGTGATGAAAAAGGGATGCAGTGTTTTTATTTTAAGTGTAAAATAAATATTTTTGTGAATAACTTTCTATATTTTCCTCATTCTTGATATAAAGGCTCCACTCACCACTCCTGTAACAGAAGATAAATTTGGAATTTTAACCGAGAAATTTAGAATTCCTGTGCCAATACTTCCAGGTAAGAAATGAGGGATTCTGAGCACTGAATGAGAAGGTAGGAAAGTGGAAATGAGGTAAGTACTGTAGTTGTATAGGTTAATTTGCTTTTTAAAATCCTTTGCCGTAATTTGATTTTTATTTCAATATAAGCACAAATCTAGACCAAAATGTAACGAAATAATGGAAGCATTACTGAAGAAGTTAGATTTGGGACAGATGAATAGCTGTAATGAAAATATACGTACTTCTTCTTTCTATGTCTGTTGTCTCCCAATTCAAATGATCTTCTGTCCCGTCTTGGTGGTAAGGAAGTAACCCTGGGTTGTCAAAGACACATATTCTGACAGCACCTAACAAATTGGAAGGTCTTCAGCGATAAGCTATGTGTCTGTCATCTGAGCTGGGCTCATTTTTTTAAGTTTATTTTATTTTTTAATTTGACAGACGCAAATATTTTCATATAAAAAGAACAGAAAAAGAGTTTTGTATGTGAAACTGCAAATATCATTATGTACTGATTGTTTTTTGATTTGGGGTTTAAAAAAGAAATGCTAAATTCAGCACACTAATCCCAAAAGCTATCTTGCTTGTTAATGTTTTCACTCTAAACCCCCTTCTCTTCTGTACATTTTAAAAAATGTTTTATTAATGCTTTTTGCTTTCTTTAGTCCTTCTAACCCCGCCCAGTTTTTTTTAAACTTTCACTTATAACATATACATAGACATACAAAACATAAATGTATACTGGATATGTCTAAAAATACATATCTTATTTTATACCATGAATTCATCACTTCTCTGTTAAGGGGATAGTATATTTTGTTCTTAATCCTCTGGAGTCATAATTGGTCATTGCATTGATTAGAGTTCTTAAGTCTTTCAAAGTTATTTTTCTTTTTAGCGATGTAGTCATTGTATGATTCATTCTCCTGATTCTTCTCACTTCACTTTTCATCAATTCATAGAAGTTTTCACAAGTTTCTCTTATAATCTTTCCTTTCTTCCTAACTTTCCTATTAGTGTTGAAGATATCACCATCCTCCCAATCACCCACACTCAAATCTTATATGTCATCCTCAATTCCTCATTCTCTCTCACCATATCCAATCAATTTGCCAAGTCTTATCAGTTTTACCTTTGTAACATCTCATATATTCCCCTTTCTTGATTTTGACATGAGCACTATTCTGATGTAGGCCCTCATCCCTTCATGTCTAGATTGTTGCCATAGCTTTCTGATTGGTCTCCCTACCTCAAATCTCTCCCCACTCTGGTCCATCCTCCACTCAGTTGTCAGATTGATCTTCCTAAAGGATATGGGTGGCGTTATCACTCTCTTATTCAGTAAACTCCATTGGCTCTCCTATTACCTTCAGGATAAAATATAAAAATCTATTCAGCTTTTAAAGTACTTCATAACTTTCTTTGACCTTACTCCTCTCCATGTACCATGTAATCTATGATCCAGTGACATTGGCCTCCTTGCTGTTTCTGGAATATGACAGTCCATTTTTCCTACACGTTTTCACTAGCTGTCCCCCATACCTAGATTCTCTCTCCTTATCTCTGTCTCCAAGCTTCCCTGACTTCTCACAAGGACCAGCTAAAATCCCACCTTCTATAAAAAATGTTTCTTAATTCCCCTTAATGCTAGTACCTTCCCTCCTTTGATTTTGATTTGATTTGATCCAGTTTACCCTATGTATTTCTTGTTTATACATAGTGGTTTGTATATTGCCACCCCCATTAGACTGTGAACTCCTTGAGAGCGGAGACTATTTTTTGCTTTTCTTTGTATCCCTAGTGCTTAGCATGGTGCCTGATATCTAATGATTGCTTAATAAATGTTGGTTGACTTGACTCTGAATCTGCCCCTTTCATCATTTCTTATGGCTCAGTAATAATCTATTACATTAACATGCCATAATTTTTTGACCATTCCCCCAATTAATGGAAATCATTTTAGTGTCTAGTTCTTTGCTACATTAAAAAGACTGCTATGAATATTTATTGCCCATAGCAGTTATATTTTTTCTTTCTTTTGTTTTCTTTCTTTTTTCTTGTTAGGACACATGCCCAGTAGTTGTATCGTTGGGTTGAATGATACGGGCAGTTTAATGACTTTGGGGGCATAGTTCCAAACTGCATTCAAATTGAACCAGTTCACAGTTCCACCAGCCTTAGTTAATTTCAAAGGGACGTATCACTAGAAGTTTGACCATCAAGTGATATTCAGATGAAATAATGAATGGTATTAACTCATGAAGCAGTGATAGATAAGGGATAGAGGAACTGTAATCTACATTATGGAGAATGAACCCATACAATGATGAAACGTGGATCCTTAGTGTATTGAAATAAATAAATAATAAATGGATAAATAAATATGTTGAAATGAGTAAATAATAAATAAATACTAAACTCAGATCTTTATTACTTAATTTTTATTTTTAAGAATATTATTTTAAAATATATTACCAGTAAATACTTAAGAGTATACATTCTGTATTTGTAGGTCTTCCAATGAATAATCATGGAAATTATATTGTGCGCTTAGGCCATTTGGTTAATTGGATGGGACAGCAAGCAGAAGAGCTTGGTGTTGAAGTATACCCAGGGTATGCAGCTGCAGAGGTAATGAAATCTTCTTCCACGATCCTAATAAGGAGACATTTTTATTTTGAAGGTTGTAGTTTAATAAGATGTATGCATGAGAAGAGATTTGTTCATGTAAAGGAATTACATTTTAGTTTTATAGAAAAAAATAGTGATTAATTTGTTTCTGTCTTTAAAAATAAGGTCCTATATCATGAAGATGGCAGTGTAAAAGGAATTGCTACTAATGATGTAGGCATACAGAAGGATGGAGCACCAAAGGTAAACTTCTTAATAATAATGTAATTTTCAGAAATTGATAAAAGTGTTAAAGGAACTTAAAGATGATGAAAATGCATTTGACATTTTGACAAAAAAAATTTAACGATGCCATAAATTGCCCAAATAGTTAAGAGAATTCTCAAATATTAGTTAACAGAACTTTTTTCTTTTCTTTTTTTCAAATTTTATTTTGGACTCAAACACCAAAACTCAAATACACAATAGAGAAAAGAAAAAGAAATATATCATAAACTTAAATTTTGAAATCTAAATTCAAAGTAAAGGGAAAAAAAGTGTCATATGCACAGCAGAAGATAAAGAGAGGATTCAAAATACATAGCAATAAATGTCAGTATCAAGAAAGCCTATCCTACATGTTATGTTGAGAGCTGTTCATCTTTTCTTTGCTTCCTTGAAAGCTTTTTTTGTTCTCTGCTGTGTACTTTTCAATTTGTTCTTTTTCCCCCTTTTCCTCCCCTTACTCTAACCAAAACTATATATATACCTATGATACATATGTAGAGTATACTTTCCCTAACAGATTCTACTCCTGATCTTTGTTTTTATGTTTGTTCATGTCTCTTATTTCCTATCCCTCCTGACTCTTCTTCTTTACTTCTGCTTGCTACCTTGCCCTCCTGTTGCTAAGCCTACCCCTACCTCCAGTGATGCCTCCCAAGTCTGTAAATCTAAACACCTTTCTATACCCCCCTTTTACCTATTCCCTCACTCTCCCTCTAAAAATCCCTCCCTTATCCTCTCCCCCCATCCCCTTACCATTTTATTTCTTCTGAATTTAGAAGACTTTTATATTCATATGTCTATATGTATGTATGTATACATACATATATATATTACATATATATTATTCCCTCTTGAACCCATTCCCGATAAAAGTAGGTTACCAGAACTACCAGCCCTCCTCCCCTATCTAAATCCTCTATGTACTTTCTTCCTCTCGAGCTTCAGTTGTGAGAGATAATTACTCTTTTTAGCTATTCCTATATAGTTTTACTTTTTAAAGTCATTATCATATTCAGGTCTACCCCAATCTTTCTTACAAACTACCCGATTACTAATAACAATCTTAGACATACGTTTTACATACATAAAAGGTAAACAGTCCGTCCATTATTGAGTTGCTTATAGTTGGTCTTTGTTATGTACCTTATGTTTCTCTTGGCTCTTCTGTATCAAATATTCTTTTCAGTTCAGTTTTTTGTTTTTTAACGAAGTCTTGAAAGTTTGACAAGTTGATCAGATGTCCATTTTTTTTTCATTCAGAGTTATACTGAATTTTGCTGGGTGTGAGATTTTTGGCCAGAACCCCAGTTCTGTTGCTCTTCAGTATATAATGTTTCAAGACCTGCAGTCCTGTAGGGTCACCGATGCTAGGTCTTATGTGATTCTAACTGTCACTGCCATAGTTAAATTGTTTTCTTTTTGTTGCTCTTAATATTTTATCCTTGAGCTGGGGGTTTCTGAATTTAACTATACTGTTCCTATGAGTTTTCTTCATAAGGTCTCTTTCAAGTGGTGATCCATGGATTTTTTCTATTTCTACTTTCCCCTCTTGTTCTAATGCTTCAGGATAATTTTCTTTATTTCTTGTATTACAGTATCAAGAGTCTCTTTTTGGTCATAGCTTTCAGGTACTCCAATTATTCTTATGTTTTCTCTTCTTGATCTGCTCTCCAGATCAGTTGTTTTTCTTATAAGATGTTTCACTTTCTCTTCTTTTTTTTCATTCTTTATGTTTTGTTGTAGTATTTCTTAGTCTCTTTTAACTTCACTAGCTTTCCCTTGCCCAATTCTAATTTTAAAGGTGTTGTTTTCTTCCTTAAGATTCTGAATCTCCTCTTCTAATTGGTTGATTTTCTTTTCATAATCTTCTTATTTTTCTTGGATCGTTTTTATTTATTTATTTTAGTTTTTACTCAATCTCTGTCATGTGATTTTTAAAGTCCTTTTTAAGTTCTTCTGTAAATTCTTTTTGGGCAGGTGACCATTTGGCATTACTCTTTGGTGTAGAAGAGAGTTTCTTTATTTCAATATCTTCCTCTGACAATGAACCCCGGTCTTCTCTATTCCCATAATAATTTTCTGTGGTTGGATTCTTTCTTTTTCACCTATGCATTTTTGGTGGTAGTAACTTAATTTTTATAATCACCTCTAGTCTTGGGGTATGTGGAATGGTGCAACTTGCCTCAAATATTCAGTTCTCCCCTCTACCCTAGAATCAAAGCCAAACCTCCAGCCTCCTGTGAGTGTCCATAGCCAACGATATCCTGCCCCACTGCTTCAGCACTGGCAGGGCATGTCCTCTTTCCTTCTCTCTCTGCAGCACAGCTGGGTCTGCCATTGTGCTGGGTCTGCCATTCCTTGTCAGCAGAGGTTCCCTCGATCTTCCCTGGCTCAGACACCCAACTCCCCTTACACTCCCAGGGTAAAAGTTCCTTTGGCTGCTGCAGAGGACTGCACCTGCTGATCTCAGGACTTGTGGCTTGTTTAAGCAGCCTGCCACTTGTTAAAGGGGACCCTAGCCTTAAGGTGTTTGCTTTTCACAGGAACCAAACCTTGTCCTGGGGTTTTTCTTCAAATCTCTGATTGTCCCCAGAAGTACCCCAGTTATGCCCCTATTCTTATTTATTTTTACCACACAAACACACACACCTCCTTTGTTCACCGGAGCTATTTTATCTTTTGTGGGGGAAAATCTGGTGAGCTTAGAATTTTCTGACCTATTCCACCATCTTCCCAGAATCCTCTCATGATTTAAAAAAAAAAAGAAACTTTGAAATATTGCTTAGGCGCTCAGGTTCAGAGCCTTAAAGACCTGAGGTACATACATGATAGTATGAAGTTGTCCAAGAGAGGAATGAACAAAGAATCAGTCTGTACTTAATCCCTTTTGAAGCCAAACTTCCTATCATTCATATATGTTTGTATATGTGTGTACGTACATGTCTGTGTATATATTATATATTTATATATGTAGATATATATATTTATGTGTTAGTTACACACATATTTGGTTCTTAATAAGTACCTTAATGTGAAGTCTATAGCTACATTTTGTATGCATGTATTATATATAGTATATGCTATCCACATGTGGAAATTGCATTACTGGCAGTGATTACTTTCTCTATGTTCAGACATGGAATTGAAAAGCTCAGAGTAGGGACAGACTTTCTTTCTATGCTGTGGCCACCAAAGACTATTCTTTTGATTTCAAGTTATACCTACTACTTATTTAAGAATTATGTTTTCTTTACATCCAGAAGAACTTGAGTTGGTTTATGTTTAAACACACCATAAAATAAAAAACACATCATCCAAGGAATGAGGACAAATTCTACCAACAAAAGTTTTCTGGCAGCCTTCCCAAGGGAAGGCGGCAAGGGGCCTGTCTAGGATGATTTCCGTGGTGCTAGCACAAGACAAATTCTACCTTCTGCTTCCAGCCTGATCTCCCAGCCCCAATGTGGAAAACTTCCATTGCAAAGACTCCTTTGACCCCAGGCCTTCCATTTCCTGCTGTGCTTGTCAAAGGAGAGGACTTCCATCTCCTACTGACCATTTTCTGCCTAATCTACAGCCTTTAGAGGGAGGCGAAGTAGTGAAATGGGGCCTCATTTGACCATCTCTTGTTTGCCTTCCATCTTGTGCTGTATTGGTCTCCAACCCTGATCTTCAACTTCCTTTGAGAAAAAGAATGGCCCCTTTTATACCTGGTTATGATCTACACACCTCAGTGATTGTGAAATCATGTAGGTGATCATCAAAAAACCTCATTCCCCATCCCCCATCATCTGGTTTCTTATTTCTCTCCCCATCCACCTTCCCATCCCAAACCACCAACCCACCCATTCCACTGTGCCCTTAGGCAACAAACTTCCCTTCACCCTAAATCTTTTCCTCTACCATTCATTTTGTCTTATAGCCATTGTTGAGACCTGGCTGCCCCCTGATGCCACAGCCTCTCTGGACACCCTCTCCAGTACTAGCTGAATTTCTGGCCTTGCCTTCAGCTCTTTGGTTGAGGCAGAGAAGTTGAATATTTCTTGCTCCCTCTTGCCACTTCCAGGTTGTCATCACCTCCATCACTCAGTAACCTCCTCTCCTTTGAGGTTCATGCTATTTATATCTACTACCCAATCAAAATCCTGGTAGCTGTTGTCTACAGACCTCTAGTTCACTTCCTTCTTTGCTCAATGAGTTCAGTTCATGGCTCTCAAATTTTCTTTCTTACCTAACCCCTGCCCTTATACTAGAAGTCTTCAACATACACATTGATTCTCCCTCATCTTAACAAGTCAGTTCCTCAACTTACTGACTTTCTGTGACCCACTTTTCCACCCACCTCAACCGCACATAAAGATGGCCATGACTTTGATCTTGCAGTCACCCACAAATGTACCACCTCCATGTTCAAGAATTCTGAAATCCCTTTATGTGACCATAATCTACTGGGTTTTCACCTCTCCCTCTGTCTTCTCTACCAAACCTTGCTCTTTGTGCACACCACAGCCTCTAATCCCTCAATTTTCTCCTAGGCCATCTCCCCTGCACTAGCCACTCTCTCCCCTTTTCTCCATCTTGACCTGTTGATGAAGTGGTTTAACTCTCCACTGTCTTCTTTTCTTGAGGCCCTGGACTCACCAGTTGTGCCCTGTCAAGCTTTAGCCTTGGATTACTCCCATAGAGAAAGTTACACAACCATTCTGACTGGGTCCACTATAGATTTATGTTACGCAACCTTAATTGGGCTTTCACTGCAGTTAGGTAATCCTACTATCTACCAATGTGGTTATATGATAGAGTTTACATATTTTTGGAATTGTGTTACACAAAAGTCCTACTTCTGTACCTCGTCATGGTGTGAATGGAAGTAGATGATCCTGGGTTCTTGAAGGCTGTGCCACAAAGAACAAGCAATGAAAGGCTTCTGTTACTGCCTGACATCAAACAGTATATCTATTCTCCAAGAACCAACC